TGTGATGACTTGTATCTGTATGCATGTGAATGGTTTGTTAATTGTAAGTGAAAGTTGTTAACATGTGAAAGCAGATGTACGCATGTGAAATTATCACAATTTGATCAACAATTGTACCTATATATAGGCTTCAGTCTGAAGAAGGAAGGACCGAAAAACAGAAGAGAAAAAGAGAGGAAATAAAAAGAAAGAGAAAGGAAGAAAGATAGATTTATGTCCAAATATCGGATATAAAAATATCAAAAGAGAAGAAACAAGTGATATTTTTATTTGTTTTAAGATATTTCTTTTATTTTTAAGTGCTCAATTCTCGACTCCGTTCCCGTTCGCCGGAGCTCGTAAATCTGGTGTGCTACAGATTTAGAGACGTTTGCCGTTGTATCTTTGGGGAAGTTACGCCTGAACCGTTAGCTGCCACACGGGGCGTATTCTTCTTGCGGAAAGAGTTTTACTCGCCTCGGTTAAAATCTTTCCGTTTTTTCAGTTGTAATTTATTTTTCAGTTCAATTGTAATTTTCTATTTTTAGATTATTTGTAAGAACTGAAAATACATATCAGTTCGTAGGATTCCCGTGTAATTTTGACACCAAATATCCAACAATCGCAAGAAGAATAATTTTTTTCCTACCGAACTGATGGCATCCACCGGAGCAGGTTCCAACTCTCAGCAGCCGATCAACAACTCTGTTCAGAATTATCATCCTGTACCTGCTGTTCAGGTCCCGACTGCTGAAAAACCCGAAAAATTCAACGGGCTTGACTTCAAGAGGTGGCAGCAAAAGATGCACTTCTACCAAACCACCTTAGGTTTGGCAAAATATCTGAAGGATGATCCCCCTCTTGTTGCTGAAAATGAAACCAACGCTGAACTACGTGCTGCATACGAAGCTTGGGGGCAAGGTGATTACCTATGCCGAAACTATGTCCTGAATGGACTTAGTAATGAGTTGTACAATGTGTACAGCTCTGTTGGTTCTGCCAAGGAGCTTTGGGCTGCCTTGGAGAAGAAGTACAAGACTGAGGATG